TTTCAACGGTTTAAAATAGTTTTTCTCGACTTTTAAAAACACCTTTCTGCCCTGCAAACATTTCTAATCATTATATTATTAATGCTCCGCCCTTTCAGGACCTAATTGCTGGTAAAAAAGTCCATGTGCACCGCCCTGGACTCTGCATGGTGTGTCCTGTGAGTCTCTGGCTACTGTCCACATGCAAGCATTCTTCCAGGTAAGTCTGAGAGTCATTTCAAAGTTTCAAACTGCTCTGGTGTATCGCAGTCTCGTTACCCCTCTTTCTCAAGCGCTTTCTCCGCTTTCAGAGACCTATGCTGGGGTAAAAAGAGCCCAATCCGTCTCCACCCTGGATCTCTGCATGTGTTGGTGTGCCTATGAGCTCTTCTGGGCTACTGTCCACATGCGAGCATTCTTCAGGTAATGTCTGAGAGTCATTTCAAATGGTTTCAAACTGCTTCGGGTGTGCGCATCACGTGAGTCCTCCTGCATGTCAGAGACCTATTTGCTGGTAAAAAAGCCATGTGCACTGCGACCTGATCTCCTGCATGTGTGTGGTGCATGTGGTCTCTGGCTACTGCCCACAATCCCAAGCATTCTTCCAGGTAATGTCTGAGAGTAATTTCAATGTTTCAAACTTGTCTCTGGGTGTGCGCATCCCGTGTATTTCCGCCGCCTTTCAAAGCCTAGTTGCTGGGTAAAAAAGCCATGGCACTGCCCTGGGATCTCATGCATGTGTGTGTGCCTGTGAGTCTCGGCTACTGTCCACTGATGGGAAGCATTCTTCCAGGTAATGTCTGAGAGTCATGTTCAAAGTGGTTTCAAACTGCCTGGAGTGTGCGCCATCCGTGGAGTCTCCCCGCTCTCACCCCCTCTGTTCTCAGGCTTTTCTCCGCTTTCAGAGACCTATTGCTGGGTAATAAAGCATGTGCTCCACCGCTGGATCTCTGCATTGTGTGTGTGCCTATGAGTCTCTGGCTACTGTCCACAATGCAAGGCATTCTTTCCAGGTAATGGTCTGAGAAGTCATTTCAAAATGGTTTCAAACTGCTGCGGCGTGTGCGCCATCCGTGGAGTCTCCCGTGTCATGACCTATTGCTGGGTAAAAAGCTCATGTGCAGCCCCTGGATCTCTGCAGTGCTGGTGCCTGTGAGTCTCTGGCTAAGTAACACATGGCAACCATTCTTCCAGGTAATGTCCGAGAGTCAATATCAAATGGTTTCCAAAAACTGCTCTGGGTGTGCGCATCCGTGGAGTCTCCCACTCTCACCCCCCTCTGTTCTCAGCGCTTTTCTCCGCCTTTCAGAGACGCTATTGCTGGTAAAAAAGCCAGTGTGCCTCCACGCCTGGATCTCTGGCATGTGTGTGTGGCCTATGAGTCTCTGGCTAACTGTCCACATGCAAGCATCTCGCAGGCTAATGTCTGAGAGTCATTTCAAGAATGGTTCAAAAACTGCTCCGGGTGCGCCGCATCCGTGGTGTCTCCCCGCCTTTCAGAGACGCTATTGCTGGATAAAAAACCATGTCACCCGCCCTGGATCTCTGGCATGTGTGTGTTGCGCTGTGAGTCTGCTGCGTCTGTTCACCATGCAAGGCCATTCTTCCAAGGTAATGTCTGAAAGAGTAACTTTCAAAATTGGTTGTCAACAAGGTTTCAACTGCTCTGGGTGTGCACCATCCGGGAGTCTCCCCGCCTTGTTCAGGCACCTATTGCTGGGTAAAACGCACCATGTGCACGTGTTTGGCGTGAGCTGGTGAAGTCTGAGCGGCCCTGACAGCACTCTGCTTTGGGCCTGACCAGCAGGCGACTCTGGCGCCCATTTTTTTCCTGCTTGTCCATTTGGACTATTCAAATGTTTAACGAACGGACGGTTTCCGTTTTTCGACCTAAAAATGATATTTTTAAATCCCGTTACTTTTGCTTTTATGATTTGTGTTACATTAATATCGTATCGCTTAAGCACAATGCACATAGTCTCGGAGCTCACTGGGGTCTGCATATGCTTTAAAGTCAGGCTTGTCCATTTCGCCATTCAAACTGTAACAGAAAACGGACGTCGAATCTCCGTCATTTGGCTATCCGACATGTTACGATAACGGACCAAGACTCCGTGCACATCAGCCAGCTGTCGAGGATTAAAACCAGTTTAATGCACTTTTTAACACTCACCAGCCAGGATTCCCTGTCCTTTTCCTGGGTTACAAAGTGAGGTGACTTAGCTGTCTTCTGGTGGGGCTCTGGGTGGAGAGGGGTAATTATTCGGCAGCCGCCTCGCTCCTCTGCTGCCTGTTTGCTGCTGCGCTCATTGGCCTGCTGCCTTGCGCTCTTGCCGTCGATCCCACACAATTTCACCCACTCTTCAGAGACTTATTCGGGTAAAAAGCCATGTGCATACGCCCTGGTCTCATGCACGTTGGTGTGCCCGATGATCTGAGGCCCCTGAGCAGCAGCTCGCTGAGGCTGACAGCAGCGACTCGGCCGTTTTACCTGCTTGTCAATTTTGGGGCATCCAGAATGTAAGAAACGGTACTGATCCACGGTTTCCCTAAAAATTGATTATTTAATCATTATCTTTGCATTAAATGATTGATGGCTTTCATTAATATGGTTCCTCCAACACAATGCACATAGTCTGGAGCAGCGACTTGGGCCGTTTTTACCTGCTTGCCATTTGGCTATTCAAATTTACCGAAACGGGATGGATTCCGTTCAATTTGGACTATTCAAATTGTTAACGAAACGGAGAGACTGTCGCGTGCATATCAGCGGCTGTAGGATAAAACAAGTTTAATGCACTTTGTTAAGCACTCCATCGCAGCCAGGATCTGGGCCTGGATCTCTGGCATGTGTGTGTGCCTGTGAGCTCTGAAGGGCCACTGACAGCAGTGACTAAGGGAGGGGGGGGCTGCATTAAACACTTCCCGCGCTTTCAGAGACCTTTTGCGTTGGTAGAAAAAGCGCCATGTTACATCACTCCTGGGATCATTTTTACGTGCCTGGGAAAAGCCGTATAGGGCTTTGATTTATTGTCCTTCCAATCTCGCAGCGGAGCCGTTGTATTTCATGATTGGGAAGTCGGCAGTGCATAAGGTCGACAGTGCACCACTAAGTGATAGTAAGTGAGTGGCAAAAGCAAGGACTCTCCACGCATTATTAGCCACGTATTTCCGGATACACTTTCTCATTTTTCACACTTTTTCACTGGTTTTCCAAAAAGTGAATTTGACTATTTT